TACAGAAAACATTTTGGTATTCATTAATTTTTTAGGATATTTTGACATTAAATGTCATCAATATCATCATAATTAAGTAACTGCGCCATGAGGTTAAAAAGCAACACACAACTTCTCAACCTTTGTAAAGTAACTTCGTAACTGCTTGATTTAAAAAGACCAAATATAAAAAAAAATCTGATTTATTAATTAATATTTAGTATCTCTGTAAAAACCTTACTCATTCACTGTTTTCATTTCTGTTTTCTGACTTTGAAACAACATAATTACATCTAACTTCATCATAATTACAAATAACTTCGTCATTATTACAAATAACTTCGTCATTATTACAAATAACTTCGTCATCTGTCCGCACTGCAATAGTTTTTAAAACAAATTTTTGTATTTGATAACAAAATATACTATATTTTTAAAAGAAAAAATGTCTGGTGTCAAAGACGTGATGACAATTTTAATGACTCATTCTTTCTAAATATCATTGCTCCATTACTCACCGATCAGTTGCTTTTTTAAGAGACGGCTTCTTTTTCTGCATCTTCTGCATCTCCAAACGACTCTGGAAACTTCAATCATAATCCTTTAAATTTGCACTGGTTCTGTTTTACAGCACAGAAAGCTGAGTGCAGATATAAAAACAAAGCTTAAACTTAAAACAAAGCTTTTGGAAACCTGGTCAAAGAAAAAACCTTGTTGGCTGAGTGTGTTGCTCCTCTGTGAACGGCGAGTCCAGTGTGAAATGATGTGACCTCACTGGCTGTTTCCTCCCCTCTCCCTCCTCTCTCTTGCATTTCACATATTCTCACTTTTACCCTTTCTGATTTTATGACAGCACTTTTTACGACCCCCCACAGTGAGAGAGATGCACACCAAAGAGAGTTTCACTCCATGTGAAACTGAGATTTGTTTGGTTGTGATTTATTAGAAGTTGCCAACACATGTTGCATAGACTTTACACTTTTTGTGTTGCAGTTTACTTTTAAGATCATCTGTTTTAGTCAGTGAGTCAGGAAACAGTTAGGGATAGCCCTTCTTTATGCAAACGAGTCACAGGTTCAGGGTCTCCGGTTGCAGCAGAGCGCTGATTCAGGGGGCAAATGGTGAGTCTAAACGGAGGCACATGATAGGGAAGACGGCCTGGAACGATGTAAGGCGATAGATGGCGCGACACGTGAGAGGAGGGGTCAAAGGGCATTGGTTCTTCTTAGAGTAGACTCATGTTTGAGGCGTTGCTAACCTAATTAGATTGTCCAGGTTTATTTTTAAAATATTACTTACAAGAAACATGATAAGTTCAAAACGGTCAAAGATTATATATTCTAAATAGTTTTTTTTTTACCACCAATTATAAAACTAGATGCAGTTGAAGGTAGATTCATACTTCCAAAAGTTCATATATTTTTTTTGAAGATATCAGACTAAAGCATGGTGTTAAATTAGGGCTGTTAGAAATAGAAAAAAAAAGGAAAAGTACGTCAGCCAAAAAACTCAGAAATTTTGAACTTAATTTTAGAATTTTTCTAGAAGAAACAAGGAGATTTCTGGAAAAAAAAAGCTAGAATTTTTTTTTAGATTAATTCCCAAAATATTTTAGAAAGAAAATCATAAATTTCTGAGTTTGAAAATTCAAAAATTTGCTTAAAAAACTTGGAAATTTTGAGGTGAAAACTTTTCACTTTTCAAACTCAGAAATTTCCAAGTTAAGAGATAAATCTAAAAAAATTACTTTTTACTTTTGAATCTCAGAAATGTCTAGGTTTCTTTAGAGACATTTTTTGAGAATAATTTTAAAATTTCTAAATATTTCTTGTGGGTATAAAAATAAACTTTATTAACTACACATGAATAGTATAGATGGCTGCACAGTGGTGCAGTTGGCAGAGCTGTTGCCTTGCAGCAAGAAGGTTCTGGGTTTGATTCTGGGCCTGTATTTTATTACATCAGTCTTTTCTGAAGCCGTTTTCGGAAGTCAGTGTGTCTGAGGACAACAGTCTGATTTTAACCCCTGGTGCTGATGAATGCTGCTGCAGAAAACCGGCAGGACATGTTAATCATGACCTGAACCTGTGAACATGCTGCTGCGTACGCCAAGTCTCACAGCATCATAGCAGCTCACTGCAAGCATGAGATAAAGTGTTAATTTGAGAAGTCCAGTGTTTGGTTTCAACACTGCCATGAACTTCTCCACTTCTCGTCTCCTGCTGAGTTTTAAAAGCATGCATTGAAATATTACTAGGTCAAGTTTTTCTAGTCTTTTCAGCAGCTGTTTGCATTTAACATTTATTTAACCAGATATGTCTCCATGAGATTAAAAAGCTGCTTTTCAAGAGAGACCTGATCAGGCATGGCTGCAGCACACCGACAGCTACAAATCAAAAATACACACATCAGCAACAATTTGGATAATAAAGGAAAAATATCCAAAACATTTGTAAAAAGAGAAAACAAATACAACTTAAAAGGAACTGATATTTTCAAAAACATTTAGATTCAGAACAACTGAAAGATGCATTTCAATTAAAGATGTCAGTTTGGCAATGAGATTAAACAATATAAATGTGTTTCTGCTCTTCGTGATATGAAGTACAAGCTAGTGTTTTATTATAATATGTATGTAATCTGAGCTGAATAACTAGTTTTGTTTTAATGTATTTTTAAGGTATAAGTTTATAATACCAGAAACAACCAATCAGAGCCAGGAGGCGGGTCTTAGGGCTGTCAATCAATGCTACTCAATGTGCTAAGGATGGAAAAACAACTTATCGTTCCAGGAAAACTGTTTATCTGCCGTCATCGGTGGCTCTGCCAACTAGCCTTAGCATTGGTGCCAGGCTGTGTGGTGAACCAGCTGTAGAATAACAAGTGATTGACAGCGCTAAGACCCGCCTCCTGGCTCTGATTGGTTGCTTCTGACTGGGTGGTGTATTTCGGCAGCTAGTACTGGGAGCATTTTGGTTCACATATTATCTGTCTTAACTGTTTTGGTCAACAATACGAGTTCTTAAGCTACAAAATTAGATTTGACCTTTAACAACGTTCAACATAACCAGCACTGACAGAAGTTAAAGCTGCACTGTTTAAGTTTAGAGGAATAAAAGCAGATAATTTATGTCATTCGTTTCACCAAATAAGCAGAACTATCTCCTTCAAACCCACTTTCAGATCTCAAAAACAAAACAAACAAAGAAAATCTCAACCAAGAAATTATATTTTAGACATCTGGTGCAACATGTTAAGTCTGAACAGATTAAACTACAACTAGATCCAACAGTAAGTCCAGTTTTCCATCATTTTATTTGATTAATGACTGAATTACGGCTGCAGCAGACAAACTGCAGGGCTTGTGGGAAAGAAAAGTTTAACATTTTAACACATTCTTAACTACAAGTACAGAACAACAAAAACAGTAACTACACTGAAATCAGTAGAAAAATGTGAATGAAGACTTGCTGCTACCCTGATGGAGAACAAAAAGTTGAACTAACTCAAAAAGTCTCCTGAGGTTTAAGGATGGCATGAACGGATTAGTTTACTTACAAAAACACTGTAAAAAAAAAAAAAAGTCCTGTTTACGAGTTGAGTCTAAGTTCACTCGTTTCACAAAGTCTGATTTGCTTTTGAAAAATATTACAGCGCCCGCGCTTTGGTCTGTTCATTAATCTGAAATATTCAACAAGAAGCATCTAAAATGAGCAGCAATGCTAAATACAGAGAATTAACCTACTAATTGTTTGTCATTGTAATTCTGCAGTTAGTGGCTCCTCCAGAAATTTTTCAAAGGGAAAATGTTACAGGGGCCCACCTAATGAAATAAAAAGAACATTATTTGTCCATTTATTTATTTATTAGGTTTAACAATTATGTCTTCATTAAAGAAGATGCCTTTTCAAGACATAAACACGACTCTTTGAGGAGGCCAGTATTTTTCAAGAGGGGGCCATGGCCTCCCCGGTCCACCTCTGAGGGTCGTCACTGTTTCAGTTGTTTTCAGATTCAACTCCTACTACCAACAATAATAAACAATACCTGAATGAGACTAAACAGCTCCCTTTAGCGTATTTCTGTTTTGTTTCACTTTGGAGGTGGTGAATGTGGCTTAAAGGGGTGCTGTCCATCTCCTCTGCTTTATTTCATATTGTTGTAGTTTGGTTGTTTCGTGCTCACTATGAATGATTTTAAATAATTTTCGATAGTCTCCAGTAAAAAAATGCGATTGTATAACTTTGATTTTATGGGTATAATAAAATAGTTTAAACTATAAAATTGTACAGCAAAAAATTTACAATTAAACGAGAACATTTTTGTATTTACCTGCATAATGAATTAATCTCCGGACTAAAAGACTAAACAAAAGACTAGGTACAGTACAGCTGAAATAGATAGATTTTTTTTCTAGGTGTGAAGACACAAAAAAAGGTCAAATAAAGTCATTTTAGAGCTGGTGGATGTGTCTCTAAGCTTTCAGTCACAGTGAGCGGCGCCATCACAGTCTGCAGGTGATCATTTCCCAAATGAGGTGAAAGTGGTAGATAAAAGAAATAATAATAAGGGTGCACCAATAGCAGTTTTCTGGCTGATCACCGATCTTTGAAACAGCTGACCTGCCAATTCCGATTTTTTCCTATGCCAATTTTTTTTTTCTCAATTGCTGCGAAAAACAGCAAGAAAGCTGCTAAGTTGGCAACAGTGGGTTGACTGTCAAACGTTTCTCACTGCAGAGCAGAAGAGGGAAGTCGTTGATTATTGACCTTTGCAAAGTTACATAAGATCAGTGGATAAAATCGGCTTCACATAGAAGTATTGGCCGATCACTTATCTCTCAAAATTAAGGAAATCGGCAAAGATAAACTGGCTGGCTGATAAATCGGTGCAGCCTTAATAGAAAATGTTCTACCCTTAATTAAAAATGTTCATATCAGAAAAGAACAAAAATGTAAAATATCAAAACAAATATCTACTCACAGCTTCATTAGCCATTACAAGTGAGTTACTGATTTAAAAAAAATCATTTTACACATCAAAAATTTACAGCCTACCAGCCACTAAACAGACAGGCTGCTGAAAGTAAATCATATATTCCTTATAATGAACAAAAATCACCCTAACAACTTAGGAACGTGTGTGTGTGTTAGTGAGGTGGCGAGGGGGGATGAGGTGGCGGTGGTGGAGGCGGAGGAGGAGGGAAGTCAACATAGGGGACAGAGTTTGGATGCCAGAAAGAAGGGGAGAAAGATGGGTTGAAAAACGCTGGAGGAGGAAGAGGAGGAGGGTAGAGGGGGAAGCTGGGTGGAGAGAAAGGGTGATGATGGTGATGATGATGAGGAGGAGGAAGATAAGGGGAGTGGGAAGGAAAGTATGCAGGAGGAATGTCCGTGTGTCCAGGTGGAGGGTAGGAGTGGGCGGATGGCGGCGCGTTTCTCGGGTGCTGATGTCGGACTCGGGTTCTGGCGTGTCGGGGCTGGGAAGCCCGGCGGTCGTGGTTCTGCTGCTGACTGGACTTATCTGAAAGAGAGGAAGAAATGTAAAAAGTTTTTCACTTTTAGGCCTTTTTAAAAATAGATTTATGTAAGGTTTGTCACCTTTTCCCATCTTTTGTCTATTTTATATTCTTTTGATTTATCTAAATGTAAATATTTATCAAATGGAGTGGAATAGTTTTACTTTTCAAAATAAAGTACCTCATATATAAGCCTCGCACAATAAACAATCGCATGATAAATTAACTTCCATTCTGATGATTAATATCTTTTGAAGGGTGATTCTGTTTACAGAAATCATAATATATTTTATACATAGTTTTGGTTGTGTGTGGTTTTTATTTATTGCTTTTGGTTATTGTGTTTTATGTTGAATATTTAAAATGTCTTCCAGTTCAAAATTAAAGTTTGTTAGTTTTACAGAGGGCAAACCTGCATTAACAAGCCTTTATCACATATTACAGCAAATGGTCTCAAAATGACAATGTTATAATTTATCGCAATAATTTCTAGCAAAATTGTGACAGTCCTACTCATATATGTTTTCTTTTTTCTTTGCATAAGATCACAAGGTTTGCTAGTAAGGTTCAGTTACTGCCAGACGGTTTACAAGGTGAAATATGCATTTTCGCTGCATATTTTATAAATAGTTTTGTTTTTTAATATCTGCAATCATCACTGTAATATCAGTGTGTGACACATTAGAATAGAAAAACACTGCTTGGAATTTTTTTTTTTGTATAAAACTCCTGGTTTTATGAAAATATATAAAAGTTAAATGAACGACGACACCAAAGCTGTCAAAGTGAAAAAAGAGGAGATAAGTTTCTACGACATCATATGCCAGAGTTATGTTTGTGGGAGTACCTGCACAGCCATTTTCCTTCCGTTTGTTGTTCCTTATTTTTCTTTTTGCCTCCTGCTCCTTCTCATCATCGCTGTAATCCAAAGCCTGGAGGAGACGAAGAAAAAGAAGAGAAACTACTGAAGGCTCTGCTAACACGTGTGTCACATTGTGTATTTTTCTACATTCACAGTTACATTGTCATCTTTGCAAAAAACAAAATCTAATTTAGATATTTATAAATATAAACAGAGATTCAAAGGTCTGGTTACTGCCAGATGGTTTACAAGGTGAAGCAGCGTTTCTAAACCCAGAAAGCCACAGAAACTGATCCTAACATGAGCTGCGATTACCTCATCTGGTGGTTCATCATCATTCTTCCAAGAAGCATCAGATCCTTTTAAACTGTGGAAAGCAGCATTATTTTGTAACACACAGAGTTTTCTACATAGGTAATCATCTGCTGGACAGAAGATGGAGGCATGTCCTTACAGTTTGAGCTGCTGCATCAAGATGTACTCTGTGTACTCTTTGAGTGCTGGAGCAAAATAAACAGTCGATCCCTCCGTCAGGCCTTTGCTGCTGATCTGATCTGAAGAGTTAAAGCGCAGAACATAGAAAGGACTGCACACAGGGCCGAACACCTCGAACACCTAAAACACACCAGCAGACCATTATCAGCACGCTGGAAGCATCAGATTTAAATTCAGTCTGACTTCATGTTCTCACCTTTCCCACAGCCACCCTGTCGGACCTGAACAGGATGCTGTCCTCGTTCAGAGCGGGTGTGTTCTTCAGGGACTGGATAATAACTGAGGGGACAAACACAGAGTTAAACGACAGAGCGGTTCTGAGGACGCAGCGTTGATCAGCAGGGAGTCCACTCACCGAGCTGCTGGACGATACTGGAGACTGTTCCCACCGGCTGCAGCTCGGCTTCCTCGGGTAAGCTCACACTGACTTCCTCCACAGCGGGAAGCTCCTGCACACAAACGGGAACGTCTAACAAATGATCTAATGCAGCTAATAATACATCGGCTTAAGTTTTCCCAACAATATTCCCTTAAAATTAGTGTGACACAATATTAACACAACAAAAGCATAAAATCCTACAAAGTATTTTAGGTTTAGTTTTTAGTGCAAATATCTTAGCAAACTTGAAATAAGAAAGCTGACTTACAAATAACCATGTCATTGTTATCAGGTACTTAGTTAGGTACACACTGTGGTAACTATTAACGACAGTTAAAATCAAACACAAAAACTTCTTAACTTTATAAAACACAAACTGACCTCAAGTAAGACTTCATCTCTAGCTTTGATAGGGGCTGGTTGGCTGAAACTTTCATCAACATCCTCAAACACCGGGGCAGGGGAGGAAGAGGAAGATGACGAAGAAGAGGAGGATGAGGAAGAAGATGAAGAACTGTCACTAGTAAAGAGAAAAGACAACATATTAGAAATGTTTTCTTTTTTTTTGCAGTTTCTAGTGTCGAATCCAAAAACTGTCAGTGCAAATGATCAGCAGGTACACTGCAAAACTCCTAACAAGTAAAAAACAAACAAACTTATAAGTAACCTTTAAGCAAGATACAGGGGTTTGTTTTAAGTCAATATTAATGAAAAAGTACTAGCTCCATTGGCAGATTATTTAACAAGACATTTCTCCCATGTTATAAGTGAAATAATCTGTAAATGGATCTGGAACGTTTTCATCAATATGGAATTATGTACTTACAACAAGCTCCTATAGCTTGCTGAAAAGTCACTTTTAAATTAGTTTTGTCTTATTTAGTGTAGCAAGATACATTTACTAGACACTAAACCAGAAATACTTAATATTTTGTGTTTTTGCAGTGCATTGTGTATGTTTGAGAGTGTAAACACCTGTCTGAATCGTCCGAGTCCTCATCCACACAGCCAGCCTCACATACAAAGCTCACAGGGAGCGTTGCTGCTGATGCGGCTGTCGGGACAGCTCCATCTGCCTCTGTGTGTGTGTTTGCTGGTGTGGCATCGTCTCGGGTCACAGAAACATCCTCTGCGTGTGTTACCATAGCGACCTGTACCTCCTTCCCCTGGTTTTCTGATGGCAGGTTGTGATCGTTCACCTCTGGTAGATGTGATGTTGAAGTGTCTGTGTGGACAGACTTGTTTGAGTCCTCATTCTCACACCCAGACCCTGAAGGGAGCCCATCTGTTTCCTCTGCCTGTGTTTGTATGGCATCCTCTTTGGTCACAAGGAGATTTTCTAGCTGAGTTGACATGGTGACCTCCATCTCTTCTGCATCCTCCATCGGTGGCGGGTTCTGTTTATCATCTGGTGAGCTTCTGTCCATCTGAGAAGGCAATTAAAGCGTTTCCAAGCAAATTATGTCACTCTGCATGACAGAATATGACATAAAGTGGCTGTCACATAAAACTCTTTATATGAATAAAATATGAACTTCTTACAGTCTGAGACATCATATATATATATTAGAAACTGCATAAGAATACAAAAATATAATTTATTGGCCAAATGTGGAAATAAAAGTAAAATATTGTACAGACAGGGCAACTTTACAAGATAAGATTAAAACATAGTAATACTAAAATGTTATTAAAAATAGCCGTTTTTTTCTGGACGGTTATTAAAAATAAAAATATAAACTACGAACAAAGCAACATTTTTTGAACATATAGGCTACGTCAAATGCTAGTTTACATTTACACGATAATTATAGAGCAAAACTATTTCGAGTGAAAATAAAATAACTGCTGTAAATAAAATGTCAGCGTGTTATTATACCAGCATTCAAATGTAGCTCCGTGAGCTAACAGGCTAATGCTAACGGTGCTGTTTTTAAACTCGCGCGCGTTTATTGAACCAGCACGAGCTCAAAAAACTCTCGCTAACGCGGTAAACACAGAGCTAACAGTATGACACTGGCTGTGTTTACAATAAAACCTTTCTGTATAATACCTGTCTGAGAAGTTACATCCACGTTGAGGACACGCGCACAGGTTTGGAAAATCACTCATACAACTTCCTGTACTCACTTTCAAAATAAGACTCAATGATTAATAAAAAAAAAACCCCATAAAGATAAGCACGTTAGAAAAAAATACAATGAAAACCTAAAGAACTGCGTAAAACTAAAAAAAAGATACAACTGCTTGTTATTAGGTTGTCTTTTATGGAGAAATGAAAACTTAAAGAAGCGCTAAAACGTTTAGATAATTTCAGTTCTTTTTAAAAAGATAGACGTGATGTAAAGTAGTGAGGAATATATACACATATTTATATATATATAAACTTAACTTTGTTAATAAGATTAGATTTATACGATAATCACTAATTTAAACAAACTGCTAAACTCAGACATATGAATTTAACTGCAATACTTAGTAACAATATCTTCTACTTATTTACTGTTAAGTTCCGTTATTACGGTAATCACTTTTAAAATATTTTAAATATATACTGGGTTCTGTAGTTACTGCAAGTTTTATTTGAAAAGTAGCATACGGGTTCCTTCAAGTAGTAAACAGCTGTTTACGTGAACTTTCCGCACGTGTAAAGTACGGAGCACGTGTGATTAAAGTCTATGGCAAGCCAATTTGCCATATTTTCTGGTGTGCGCTATTAACAGCTTGTGGTCGTTTGTATGGCAAGTTAATCGGGAGTGAGCGACCCCTGTGTTGTGCTGCAGAGCTTTCAGACCTCAAATAATGCAAAGAAAACAAGTTCATATTCATTTAGAAACAACAATACAAATGTTTTAACGTAGGGAGTATTTAGAATGTACTATATGATGAGATTTTTTTTCTGTTTCATTACTGCATTATTTTTACAGCTTTTATTTTATTCTGCAGTTTATTAATACAGAATTTCTCTATTCACTCTACTACAACACATTTATCTTTGTCCAGAATGATTCAGAGGTAGGTAAAAACGGAAACAGTAGATGGCAGCACAAGGCTTTGTCCTTCTTCCTGAGCTTTTCAAATACAGCATCAATGTGAGCTTTTGAACTCTTCACCCAAAATAATCACTCCAATTTGATTGATTTGATTTGTAAATTCCCAAAAATCTTAATTTTTTTTTATCTCAGACAATGAAAATAACTCTTTTCCAACAGACTGGATTTTACTTCATATACTGATGGATGTTTGGATGTGGAATGTGCACATAAGTTCTTGAATCCAGACAAGGAATCTGGATCCAAGAAATGTGTTAAAAACCTTTTTGTTTTATGAGCCCTCTGCTTCAGGACAGCCAAACAGCTGTCAGCCGCAGTTTTAGTTTCTCACTTTTCTAAATATTCTTTCTTGACCTTCCTTTGGCTGGATTTCACTGCCGCGTCTGTTGTAAGATGTTCACAGTACTGAGGATGTGACAGCTCTGATTACAGTCATTTGTGTTTCTTAACTGCATGTTTTGTATTACAGAAATTCAAACCTTTAAATTCTGCAGTAAAAGTGTCTCTGTCTTTTCCTTTCTAAGAAATGTAAAATAAATAAATGTGTTATAATGCACAGGAAAATCCAGTTGCTTACCATTGTTACAGAGATAATCAGCTTACACCATGTAGCTGTTTTAGTAAGGCACTGAAGGAACTTTGCTTACAACAAACACAATGTGACTCAAACGCTTCCAAGCAGCCATTCCCTGCAGGAGTACGGTCAGAATGACATATACGGGCCTGTCCAAAGCTTTACGTCATCTGTAAGAATAGCTGCTCTAGAAACTTAGCAGGAATCATATTTGTGTTCCCCCAAGGAGTTGGGAACTATGCTATTATTGTCCATCCATGTGACTCACCTCTCCAGAATGCTTGAATTGTGCTGGTGTCCTGATCCAAGAGAGTCTGGATAGCAACAAATCTCCCTGATGTATTACATTAGTGTACTTCTTTACACTGAAACTCACAAAACTCCTAAATATATTTAGATTTTCTCCAAGGATACAACAGAATGAGAAATTAGAAACTCTTTTTGTGTGAATTCAATGATAAAATGAAAAAGTACTCCACATGATTAAAGAGAGGATTCAAACATAATGTCATAATTTATTAATATTCAAACAATCTATGTTGTATTGATGTTGATTAAGTAATAAACCAAAAGGCAAAAACAAATACAAAGCACAAACTTTACCTGAACAATGGAGAAGCACACATGAAAAACAACTACACTGTAAAAACATCTGAAGGTGGTTTAACTTGAAAATGAAAGTCCGCCTGCTGCTGTGAAAATGCAATTTAAGTCACAAGAAAAGTGTTTTGGTTCTAACTCAGAAATTAAAGTTCATGAAGTTGATTTAACTTCAAGAGGTGAGTTGTCTAAACATTATTTTTTAAGTTAATTAATCTTGAATTGTGAGTTTTAAATTAATCCTGCAATTTAAACCAAATAATTATTTAACAATATGCAAGAAAAAAACTGCCCTCACCTGGTTAAAGGTCACATTTCTCTGTTATTTTTACTCACAATATAAAGGTAAAATAACTGCTTATTTTGCTTTAGAATAATTTAAATTTGTTTCGAATTGCATGAAAAAATTTATGATCTGATAATGAATTTTATTAAATGTCAGAATGAATTCTGATTAAAAAAACATTTAGTATGCAAAGGACATAAAAATAAACATTTGCCTTAATAAAACACCAGATCAGTGTAACACACATCCATCTCAGGATACAAAAACATTAAAAAACAACATTCTGGGAAATAGTTCCCACTCCTGTCTTTTTCCTCGTTCAGTTTTTTTTTTAGCGCTGACCTATAAAGTCTAGTTTATTCAACTCTGGAAGGTCTGACAAAATTAATAAAAAGTTAACACAACTTACTACTGTATGTCTTTCACAAACTCACACATTGAGGTTCTAAATCTAAAACTCACTACATTTATTTGACTTAAATAGTAGAAGACAGTAGACACAACTAAATGCGGCTCAAATGTTTTACAGTGTAGGGATCACCGTGACCCAGTTCAACCCATTTATTTGGCTTCTCAAAACAAAATAATCATGTCTTGTTTTTGTATACACACACGCAAAAGTATAAAAATCAACAGATGATGTGACTAATAAATTAGCCCGAGACTGAAGGAGAAAACCGTTTCCCCTCTAAATCTGAATCCAGTGCTGCTTTCCAGGCTGAAAGGAATCAGCTGCCAAATGAAGCTGAAATATAACTAAGAAAAGATTTAAGTCAAAGCTGATCTAATAATAATAACAACTGTGACCTGTGGTTAGGGTATTTCCATATTTCAGGGATTGAAATGGTACGTGCAGCACCGTTTCTAGGAAATCCTGCCGAGAAGGACGGTTTGTGTCTCATCATCAGATGTCTCATCTTTTGTCTTTGATAACAGATGAAGCAGTAAAAGTTGCAGCTGTTGCCTATTGTACCCCTCATGGGTCAGGTTGATATGCACCTGCGTTTCTATGATGTCATGCAGTGCAGAAGTTGGAAACTATATCCCCTGAAGCATTTTCCCTGAAAACAAGTTTTTGAAAGGGTGATTTAGAATAGGATGTGCTCCAGCACCATTGTTTTAAGGAATCTATTCCTTTTCTGTTGATGTGCATTGTGACTAGTAGTCAGGGAATTGAACTTTATTTCTGGACATGTTTGTTGGTCATAAAGTTGGCAGATGTTGTTTTTCTTGGTTGGCAAATATTGTTTTTTTTTTTGCCTTTTTGTCCTTCACAGTCACACAAAAACAGAAAACAGGTGCTGTTTTTCAGTTTTACGGTCCCAATATTACTCATTGTGTCACCAATGACAATGTAAAGTCAACATACCACCACCACAAAACACAGATTTTCCCGTTTTGATGGGAAATACCCTCCACACAAACCCCAACCAATGCATGACAGATGTTAACTGTGTGTTTTAAATAAAAAGTCCAATTAATCTACAGGTCCTATAATTACAGACATATTAGTTAAGTCTCTTTTTGTGCTTTTTTTCTTACTTGTTTCTTATGAACTAGATTGCTTTTTCAGCAACATGCCAGCTTAACTTTAACATGACTCTTTAACTCTAAAAACTATTACTTTTGACATTAATAATGTTTACTTTAACTTTTAAGTTCCTTGTCAATAATTTTTATAAACTAAAGATATGCATTTGCCAGATTTGAGATTATATTTGTGGGAGCTGAAAATAATTTAAGCACTGGCATTAGTTATTCTATTATCCATCATTTAAAATACGTATTTGACATGTTTTTCTCGATTTTTCTCTTATGGGTCCATTGATGTAAAATCCACACCAGATGTTGGCAACAACCCAAGTAATCCATAAATACAATAAAATCAAAACAAATAAGTAAAGTTTAAAAAATGAAATGACACAGGGAATAAGCTTTGATCACAAGAAGAAAATAATCTGCAATAAAAGGCAGGGAGCCAAGAAACAAACTAAAATCTACATTTGTATGATTGGGAAAACCAAAAAGATCTTCACAAAAAGTTCTTGGAGTTGCAAATAATACTAATTACAATCACTACAACTACATTTCTACGTTTCTGAATGTTCCAGTTAGTGCTGTTGTTCCCTAACTTGGAAGTGGAAAGAACACAATTTCACCAAAAAACAGCCAAGACCAAGTTTTCCTCATAATATTTCTAACAAAGGAGCCAATAGAATAATAATAAGAAGAGTGAAAGACCTGGAAATAGCAGAAAACAGCTTTTAAAACAATAAGTAAAGCTCTGTATTGTACACACTCTGCACAATACTCCACTGTGGAAGAAAAAGTATGTAAAAGCTTCTTTAAAGTAGATGCAGAAAATATGGACAAGCTAGTTAAATACGGAGAGAATAGCCTGATCAGCCAAGACCGAAGTTGAGCTATTTGGATATCAGTGGACATACAAGTTTGTATGAAGAATGATTCAGTACATAATCACAAAAACACTGTGCCAAAACAGAAACTCGCAGGTCGGAGCTTCTAGGTGTGGTCACATCTAATCTACAGTTTTTATTTGTTGTTTAATAACTTTTCGCTGCGTTCTGTATACAAATACCTTTTGCTTATTTTTATTTAACTCTCAAG